CATTGTGACTATTTATGAACATTTCATCTCCTCTGTGAATCTGTCCCGGTGTCATATGTTTCATTTCGACATAACCTGTATCGTGTAACATATAATGACTCTTACTATTGTAGGTGTATGAAAAATAAATAAAATTGGTAGTTAAAGAGTGGAAATACATGCACTCACTTATGTTATCAAATCGACTGTACTTGTGATTTGTTGGTTTAGACACACTCATCCCCTATGTAATGCCCACTGGAGTTTATTTATTTAACACGACACAATACGGCAGTTATTTGTTTCCTTTTATGACGTCTGAACGTAAACTTACGTGTGGTTTACGGCAGGGATTTGTTGGCGTAAGTTACCTGAGGTTTTGGGCGTAACTTACGGGTACCCGTAACTTATTTACGTGCACTCGTAACTAACGTGTACGTCGTGAAACGGACCAAAAAACTTACGTACGGTTTACGCGTCGTGAAACGGGACCCAGGATGTCGCTTTGTGAGTCTAATACTGTAAAACCAAATGAGGGTAGTCGTCCTATAATAGTCTTACTCTGTTATCCAAATAAATAAATAGAATTTAAAACTATGCCCATGCTATTGTTTTTTAAATTAGTTATGACAAAAGACAAAACAAAATGGCAAAATTCATACGCGTATGCTATCTTTAAATTTTGAGGCCATCTTGTGTGTAGAGTAGAGTTGAATTAAAACAGGAATTTATTGCTTGTGTAGTTATTTATTATCTCCTAAAGGTAAAAACCATTACCATACGTGAATGTATGTTCGTTGTATGTATAAGGACTGATAATGTGTTTATAGCACATATGTCACCATATACACGTATAGACAAAATGTCAGTTGGTAGGTGTGTTTAAAGAGAAGTTGTTTAATAGGGATGATATTGCAATGAAACGTGTTCATTATTGTCATGCATGAGTTGCACTCTCTAAAGTAGATTTAGCCTCTTTTATCGTCACCTATTTCTTACTACGATGGTGATTTTCTTAAGATGTTTTTGCCAGATTAATATTTTTTTGCAGTCTAGTGAATGTAAAATTCATACTATAAATCAAATATCCCTAGGTTAAAAAGACTTTTTCGCTGGATATCAAAAAGGCAATTTACATATTATTCAAAATTTGTAAGCAGAGGAGTAATAACGACTGTGCAGACATCAATATTTGTCAAACTTTTGAAGTAATGGGCCCCTTTGTTAGATTACGAACCACACAGCGTGTGATCCGGGGAATAAGATATACCGTCGAAATTTGTTTGGTGAAAGTTTAGTTAGCATAGAAATGATACCCTTACAAAACTGATCTACCTGAAAATTTGTTTTTTTAAACTTCAAAAAGAGTCTTCATTTGAAATTCTAAAATGTATTTTAAACTTTCAAAATTTAAATTTATAATGTAGAATAAACATTTTGAATTAAAATTTGAATTAAAATCCCTTTGAAGCCGTTTAATTATTTTTCAAACTTTTAAATCAATGTTAATTTTAATTGGATTTTTAAGCATCAAAACATGTTCTTTTAAAGATCCCCGTATCACTGCCAAAAATGGCAAGTGTGCATTTGAATTTCGCTTTTTTCAGCATGATGATAAATTTGATAAATCATTTAAAAAATCAGAAGGTCAAACCGTGCAGGCCTTAACGAAATGCCAAGAACAATAAAATAAATAAAATATAATCAACAGCAGTGTTCTTGGTTTATAGATGTAGCAGGGCTTGACCGGGCCCATTTAGTGTGAATATCACTCTAACCGAGTTACAAATTGTATCTACGTGGCCTGGCCCACCTGTGCTACAGTTCTATCAAATTAGTATTAAGGAGAGGCTAATGTAAGTACTTTAAACACAGTGTGACAAAGGTCTTTAATTGTCAATTTAAAAAAAAATAATCAAACATTTATTTAAAATATGTGCGGTTTCAATATTAAGAATTTGGATATTTAAAAATCAAGGCTCCGAAGCAGTTATTGAGATGCATGACAAATTAAGCATATGTAATATAAAATGTTATTGGTATAGAACTTCTTTACGGCATATTTAAAGTAAAAACAGAACAACACAACATGAATGCATCCTCGATACTCCAGGGGCTACGTACGCTCACTTTCGCTTCACACATCCCTGAAATATGTTATAGCAAAATTGAAGGCACGTGTCTAGCTATTTGATTGGTCTCAGGTAAAAGTACCTGACCAATCGCTGAGGCCGATACCTGTCCTTTGACGATAATAGAGGACCGACACGAAACTTCAACACCAGTATTTTTTACAGTTTCGCGACCAACAGATTCTTTTGATGTACACCACGTATCGAGTATCGAATATCGAGGATGTGAAAAATGAAGCTTATCGATTAAATCAAGGACATGTTCAGCATCCAAAACAAGAAACCAGATATAATACCTATGACGTATTTATGGAGAAACACAGCTAAACACAAAACTAATGTTACATTGATGAGGATGATGACTAATTAGCTGAGCTGTGGAAACAAGGATCAATGAAGCATCTAAAGTTTGAATTAAGATAACTTATCAAGGATGTATGTATTCCGTCTTTGCGTATTGCAGAGTTATCTTCTCTTTGGAGCAGGTATTGATTGTTACGTCATTGGTTTGTGTTAGAAAATTACGTCGTTTTCTCAAAAAATGATGACGTTACTCTCACAAACAAGTGATGTAACAATCAATACCTGCTCCCAAGAGAAGATAACTCTGCAATACGCAAAGACGGAATACTTAGAATAAGAATTATATGGTACAACACATAACACACATGGCAAATACTAAACATTGATGAGGAAACTGACAAGGTTAAAGGGACGTACCGGCTAAGACTGACACAATATCACAAGCTTTAAATGAAATGTTATGCCAAGTATGTTGTATAAATGGTGTAAGTCAATTTGACTAAGGCTTAAACGTTTTGAGAACCAACAAACAAAATAGACAGTAACAAGTAACAACTTATCATCGATGAGCCTTTCTAACCAGTCACTATACCAGAACGTGTTGGTATCAGTTAGTATGTGATGCGCGGATTACAACTAAGCTTAACAATGCAATTAGGATCAATTTTTTTGTTGGTTTCGCACGTTCGCGACATCCGGCCTAGGCGAACCAAAAGCAGGTATTCTGAGTCACAGGTTAACGACAGATAAGGATCGAGAATAAACTCCTGGAAAATTTTGAAAAAAAATTGCATTGATATATCAGTAATTTATGATAGCGGCGATAGATTGTTTAGTTTTGTTATACCTTTACTTTTTATTCTCTATACTCTTCTATAGAGAGAAAAGTTCGAAATTCCAGATGTTTGCCTCAGAAAAATGTTGACCGGTCAACATCGAAATTTTGACTGGCTTTGGGTGAAATGTTGACTGCTTATGTAACAGTTCATTACTATTCGGTACTTCTCGGCCATTACTCGGCAACTTCCGCCGTTAAGCAATTACCAATAGTGGCATCCCTATAGGAAGTAGTGCTCACGTCTGCTTCCGGCCGTCTGCATGTACAATCATGGACAGATTTTCGGAATACACTGCTGCAGAAATTGATGAAATTCTTAATAACAGAGACAGTACAAACACCAAGAATGTGATCAGAGTTGCAGAGAAATTCATAACGGAGTATATTGAAGCAAAGCACAACGCATTACCACGGGATATTTTTCAAGATAAAGTCAGACATTTTGAAAAAGTGTATAACAAAACATTTGTAGACTGAGTTTTCGGTCAACATGTGTTATGTTGAACCCTCGCACCAAACTGTTGCCTGAGGCCGAAGGTTTAACATAACACATGTTGTCCTCAAACCCAGTCAACAAATGTATAATATTTCATCTGTATGATGTAAAAGAGAAAAATACAAACCGAGGGTAGGTTTTTTGACGTTTGGCACAAGGCTTTGCCGAAAAATAACTGTCGAACAACCTTATCCCGAGGGTTGACATGTCTTAGTCCGCATCATACAGAAATGATTGATTATATGTTCACTTCAGCATATAGCACTATAAAACTAGAAAATAATCTTGACAAATTTTCCGGAATATATGTGTAACTTTTTTTTAATGTCACTTACATGTACACATACCTAAATAAAATACCTATACAATGCAAGTCATTACAAACTTTTACGGATGTATGAAAGTGGACGAGTGGAATTAGTGGGGTTCTTTCAATCTAGCCTTTAAAATAGAATTATATACATACGGACTTGTTTAGAAATTGTAAATCGAATACTATCATTAGATAAACAAAATGAGTCTTTACTTTTTTGTATTGTTAAAAATAATTGGAATAAAAAACAACAACAATAAACAGTAATATACCGCGTGCATGTAGGAAATGGACGTCCCCATTCTTGTCCGGGTGCAAAGTAAAAGACTTTACAGGGACATGACGCAGACGGATACAGTGTTGGGGTGGCTGATACATGTATGCGCGGGGACAACTTACAAACTTAATATAACTATAATATATATATATATATATAACACATGTATAAACATAGCTATTGAATGTAAGGTGTACGAATAGTGAAAGACCACCTACGTGTGGACACTTTATTGTTCAGGGGGCTGACCCCAGGGCTCCTCAACCCTGGCAGCCTCCAACAACCACTGAATATTTGCATATGCATATGTCTAAGATCTATGAAAATGAGAATATCAAAATGCTAAGGGATTAAAATTTTGTATAAATAAATAAAATAAAAAATTGTCACTTCAGCACACCATATATTATTTAACATATGAATGAGATGAGATGAATGAGAAGTTAAGAGGTATCAATAAAGAGTATGAAAATAGTATTCAAAATTTAAACTAGAATACAGATATCAGAAAATGCACATTTGCATGCTATTTGGCAAGGCCATAAAATGAAGCAACTTCAGGATTATTGAGCTCAAAATCAGCTATCTCTTTTAGTTTTTTCAGTTTTTAATTTCATGAAGACGTCTGTGTAGCTGTGTAATAAACTAACTTGTTATTGCAGTGAAATGATCGGGGAGAAAGGTGAAATTGACCGCGCGAACAGATGGCGCTGTCTGGCCTTATTCCTGTTGTTGACGTCCTTGATATTCCTGGCTGTGATCATTTATATGGCGACGGAGATCCAGAAAGACAATAAGACCCCCGAACATGACCGCCCTTACCCGGAGCACGGTAAGGTCAAACTGGGCGAACCCTCTGAGCCATCCGTGTTTCATGACCTGACGACCGCTGAGATTCGGGGACTAGTGTCTTACTTAACCCAGGAGGAGTCACTCAACATCACTCGACCTCCCTCTAATACCATCAACACCAATTACCGCTACCTGGCCGAACTATACCTACCCAACAAGGCCGCCGTATTAGAGCATTTAGACCGCGGAGGACAACAGCCGGCTAGGGAGGCCATCGTGACGATATTTCGAGGTGCTAAAAATCCCCCTGACGCTATCGAAAGATTAGTCGGTCCTCTTCCAAACCCTACGTATATAAAAGAGGTTCCCGGGCGACCATCCTCAGTTCCTTTTATACTACGACCTATTAACATGCCGGAATACGACAAGGCGGCAAGCTTTGCAAAACAAGAAATTGACACTAAACTCCGGGATCATATACGTGCGTTTTATGGCGCAGCTCTCACCGACTGTGGTTCCGAATGTCTTATTCTCACCTATTTCTCATCAATGTCACCAAAAGTTAGCGGAGAGCAAACTCGGAAGTTTTGGTTCTGGTTGAGTCGTGACAAAGAGAACTATTTGTTAAACAATTTAGATTTTTCAGTTTTGGTTAATACTGCGAATTCTGATTTCGCTCTTGAAAAGGTATGGTTCAGAGGTTCCACCTATGATGGAATAGACGATTTCAAATCTCGTGTGTTTCTGAATAGTACCCAAACATCCTGGCCTGATCCAAATCATGACACTTCGTTCTCAATGGCAGAAAAACGCGGGAAGCCGTTCTGGGACGAACCTCTAAGAAACCCTGCTCAAGTTGAACCAGATGGAAAGCGATACAATGTGAATTACAATCAGGTGACATACATGCGCTGGCAGTTTGACTTCCGTATGTCCAGTGCGTATGGACCACAAGTCTACGATATCCGGTACGATGGCCAGCGAATTATATATGAGATAGGCTTACAAGAGATGTGTGTTTTCTACTCGGCGAACAACCCAGCACAAATGTTTGCGGACTTTTTCGACTCTAGTGATCTGATTGGCCCGAAGGCTAGTCCGCTAGTGCCTGGAGTCGATTGCCCCTCTCACGCGACGTTTATCGATGCCTCGTTTCTAACGGAAACATCCGACGAACCGTTCACCACTCGAAATGTTTTCTGTGTGTTTGAACTCAACACAGGAGACCCGCATCGCCGACATTTCAACTACGAACCTCTAACTCAGACCTCGTATGAGGGAATGGAGAGCATTCTCCTCGTCTTCAGGACAATCCTCACTGTCATGAACTACGATTATATAATTGACTTTCGCTTTTTTCAAAACAGTGCCTTAGAAGTTAGAGTTGTCTCCACTGGTTTTATTTCTACTAGCTACTACAGACCGGAAGAGACTCCGTACGGATACCGTCTGAACGATTATATTGTCGGAAGTCTTCATCATCATTTGATTCATTTCAAAGTCGACCTTGATGTTTTGGGTACGAGTAATCGCTTTGCAACTCTGGATATTGAACCGGAGTCTGTGGATAATACTTGGTCGAAGATCAACGGGGAAAAATATCACCAAACAAAATTTAGTCAAAACGTGAAGCCAGATGAGATGAGCGCTGCTTACAAATATGATTTTAATTCACCTAAATATCTCACATTTTATAACAACGCATCAACCAATAAATATGGCGTGCACAGGTCGTACCGCGTGCTGCCGCGCGGAATGACAAAGTCACTATTGGCAGAAGGTTTCGGTAATGAACCTTCCGCGTCTTGGTCGCGCTATCAGATGGCAGTGACTCGCCGGAAAGAGACGGAACCATTCAGCAGCTCGCAGTATGCTGCGTTGGACACCACAGACCCTGTTGTGAAGTTTCAGGACTTTTTGGACGACAACGAATCCATTCTTGACGAGGTTTGTGTTATCTTATAATCTGTATTTACATACACCAGTGTAGGTACAGCAGAAGCCCTAATTACCTCTGTCTTGCCTGTGTTTCTGCTCAGTCAAAATGTCTGTATTTGCTAAGCGTAGGAAGGCTCAATTTCAAAAAATACATTTGTGGCGTTAATGTTAGGAGATTTCAATCATTTGACATGCAAACGCTCATCTCAACCCTAAGACTACTTTTCATGAATAGTTTTTGAAAATAAACAAAGTGTGATATATGAATCTTCTTGGAAAAGTAAGAATATAATTTTTGTTTTTAATGTCCAGACCTCGAACTCACGACCTACGGCAATAGACGAGCTGTATCGAGCTGTTGACCACTGCAACATCGAAACCTTCTTTCTAGAGGCGGTGTGGTGGTATAGTAGTAAGAGATGCGGATATTTCTGGTCTAGGCGATTTGGTGCTGTTAGTCGTGAGTTCGAGCCCCGGACATGACACGAGTCATAAAATTCTCACACTGATCGGATCTTTTGTTAAGTCATTGTACATGTACTAAATATTCCTCTATTCAATGAATACAATAAATTCAACATTCGATTTAGTTAATAATACTACTCGGCCCCTTGTGGAACAAAGCGTTGTTTTAGTTTAGGAACGGGGCGTGACTTAAGTGCGATGGGCAGTGTTAACATGATTGAAACGTGGTTTTATCGCAGATTAGAATATGGTCGTATCCAATCAAAACCTGCGTTTCAATCGATGCTTGTTAGAATGTATAATGATAATGCCTCATCGCATTACTCACTAAATAAAACAACCCTCTAAAATATTGCATAGTCACCGTAAATGCTAATCACGTCATACACGTAAGTCACATACAAAGATTCCAGTTAAAAATCAATGTTAACAAATGTCAATTGAATAGAATTGATATTAATATTATATAATAGAACATAAAGTTCAATTTCTGAATTAATGAAATGATGCCTTCATAAGTTTATCGTCGTGAGGACATATCGTTTTGTGTAATAAACTGAATGTTACGAAATAACACTTTAGCTAAAAGAAAATGTATATATTAGGTCACTCAGAGCTGACTTCATTTTGACTCGATATGGCTAGGCAACCGGCTTCAAATCAAGATGGCGATGGTCAAACGAAACCACAAAAATCATTCTATATGTCTCATAAATTAACAGCATGATCTAGAGTAATAAAGAATTTTGAATGATTTTCACAGCATTTGATGTTGTTTTAATGCTTTTGCCATGTTATACACATTGTAAATGGAGAGTACCATACTGTGTATAACAAGCTAATCGCCTTTATGACAACACTTCATGTTACGAAAGAGTCTATATTACGCGGGGTTTCACATAAATTAAGCTAGGAATGACCCTATGATAATATACCTTAACTTCAGATAAGGAAGTCGTTTTGTATGATTCAGTTGGGTCACAAAAGGGATTAACATGTTTAAACAGGTTTTGTATAAAGGCAACAAAGTAAACGTCTCAATACATTATCACTTAAATAACTTTGATTAAGTTCAATATATCTTTATAACATATATCATTACTAATGGTTAAGCGGTGTCTTCAAATATGACTTATCATATAGGCTTGAAATATGGTGATGAAACCATTTTTAAGGGAGATTGTTGCAACTGAACAAATACAAAGACAAATGTAGGAATTATTTAGACGACTGTATGGGTAACGGGCAATTCGATACCAAATAAAGCTTGCATTGGTAGGTAATAACATTGTATTCAATTTTTATCTTATAATAGTTTCAATTCACAAACATCGAAAACATCAACATAAGATGACTGTTTAACTTCCAATCTACACGACATGACCGCCATCTCTATCAGATACTTTGTGAAAAAATAATTAATCAACAATCGTTAACTCCTTTCACTTTGCAGTTTTGATAAAGGTACCACACGGGGTCGTTCGTTCATTGATCCGTCAAATAATCAACGGAGGTTTATCAGATAAAAGGAAAACTACTAAATTGAATTTAATTCACATGCTATCTGTGCACGATAATACAATTGTTTGCGTTTGTACATGTTTGTAGCCTCCGTGTGGACTTACATTCAATTAAAGGTCAAGTTAAAGTCGTCCATGGGAAATGATACACGCGTATTTTTAGGGTTACTAATCAGATACAACTGTGATTCATTGAGTTACCTCTTATCCGACTAGAGCGGGACACGTTGCAGGCTAACTGTAACACACAAGGTCACTCATATCGACATATTGTATGACACAATAATCCATTTATAAATGTATATTTTGCTAATAAAGTGGAGCAACATCGTACCACAATTTGGGGGCAAACAATTTCAATTTTATTACGTAAACGGGAAAGATGAAAACGTCCGAAGCCGATATCGTACAGCTACTATTGTTTTGTCTATAATGACATTAGCCTCCCCTTAACTTTGTATTAGCTATATGACTGTAGTACAGTTTGGCCAGAGACTTCCTTTGAACAAGTAGCTCAGTCAGTAAGAGCTATAGTTAAATAAGTTGAAGTCAAGCGTTCGAATTCCTATACTCCCCCGCACCCATTTTTTACATTCAGGACACTTTTGTTAGTTATGTTTTGTTCAAGTCCCCGTGATATTTTTTTCTCTTTGGAAAAAAATATCAAAGCAATCGATATGCTGGAAAACAAATTTTAATGCGTGGATAATTTGTTTATCATTGGTATGGTGATCCTTAAGTTCCCTGTATGTCAATATGAGCTAAAAAAAAATATATGTTCGCTGAAATGACCTGCCCTATTTCCTCCCCAAAAATCAAAATACTGCAATAATTTACCTGTTTCCATATAAGGAAATATGGTATCGTAATATCAGTGTTAGGTACCCTTGTCATTGTCTCGTGACGCACTTGATACCCCTTGTCGTATCTCCTGATATGTAAAACGTAAGTATTTACATTGCACTGTAGCAGTATAATTTTTTTATTGTAGTTTTATCATAAATGTCAAACGTCGTAAATTTGATCAGTATATATATATAATAGCCAGACCGGCGGTAACTGTACGTATTGTCGTGTTGTACGTTTGATAAATTAGCTATTATTACTTTTGTATCGTTTTCCCGTCTTTTCCATTCCTTAAAAGTATACTCTAGACTAAACCCTGATAAATATGAACAAATCAAAGATGTATCGCGCGATTGATGGCATTTCCCCTGTAAATCCTATTCCAATTGCTACACTGTACATTATAACAGAACTACCTTTAAGTGTTTTATGCTCGTTATGTTGGCCAGATTTTTTCTGTATATATCTGAATAGGTATTTATCTCTTTATTTTGTACACATTTGGTTCACCAGTTGTCTATCTTTAGACATGAAAGTACCGCTGATAAATCCTAGATGAACGGCATGGCCAAATAGTGCAGTATAGGTTTACTTTGGTTATCTTTTTACATTGACGCATACTTTTAAATAGGTACATGTGTACTTCACTACTTCGTACGATTGGGGATAACTATTAACCAGTCCAAATGTAGTTTGACAATTTCTAGCTTTGTATCCTGTACACCTCTAGTAGAGATAGAATATAATTAGCTTTGCATTCTGCACACCTCTGATTTAGAAACAATCTAACTATATATTTTTTACATTTCTAGTTAAGAGAGTATCATAAAAAGTATATATCTCTTTACTCAGCATATTTCTAGTTTAGAGAGAATTTAACTTGGTAATTTGTAGAGGTCAGGTTTAGGTAATATTAAGCATTGCATTTATAAGCTATAGATTAGAGAGTATCTTATTTTGTATTTTGTACAGTTCTAGATTAGAGAGTATCTAACTTTGTATTTTTTTCTGTACTCGATTAAAGAGTATCTTATTTTGTATTTATAATTGCCTGAAACCTGTCATAAACTGATTTATCTCATACTATTAAGTTGTACTTCGTATACTGCTCTTCTGTTTCTCAACATCTGCCGGATTTTTTCTCCACCTGTCTTTTTCTGTTACTCTCTTCTTTTTCTTTCTGTGTCGGTGCTTCCTTTTCTTTCGTCTTTTTTTTTCATTTTCTTTCTAAACATTTTTTTCTCTGTAAATCAATACAGTAGAAATATTTTTATTGATATGTACCATGTATATAAGATACCAATATGTTGCATCATCTTACTGATGATACATATCAGGCTTGATTATAAAAATACATAAACTTTATTTTGGTATGAAAGATGTTTGATTGAATCAAATGAGCATGTAAAAAAAAATAAAAAATGTGAGACTATAAGGTATTGAAAAAAGATTAGAGAGTATCTAACTTAGTATTCGTACAACTCAGCTTTGGGAGTATCCAACTTCGCATTTGCACAGCTCTAGATTAGGGACTATTTAACTTAGAATTTGTACAGCTCAGCTTTAGGAGTATCTAACTTCGTATTTGTACAGCTCAGATTAGAGAGTATCTAACTTAGTATTTGTTCAGCTCAGCATTGGGAGTATCTAACTTCGTATTTGTACAGCTCAGATAAGAGAGTATCTAAATTCGTATTTGTACAGCTCTAGATAAGAGAGTATCTAACTTTGTATTTGTACAGCTCTAGATTAGAGAGTATCTAACTTTGCATTTGTACAGCTCAGATTAGATAGTATCAAACTTTGTATTTGCATAGCTCTAGATTAGAGAGTATCTAACTTTATATTTGTACAGCTCTAGATTAGAGAGTATCTAATTTTGCATTTGTACAGCTCTAGATAAGAGAGTATCTAACTTTGTAGTTGTACAGCTCTAGATTAGAGTGTATCTTACTTCGAATTTGTACAGCTCAGATTAGAGAGTATCTAACTTCGAATTTGTACAGCTCTAGATTAGAGAGTATCTAATTTTGTATTTGTACAGCTCTAGATAAGAGAGTATCTTACTTCGTATTTGTACAGCTCTAGATAAGAGAGTATCTTGCTTCGAATTTGTACAGCTCAGATTAGAGAGTATCTAACTTCGTATTTGTACAGCTCAGATAAGAGAGTATCTAA